AATATTCCAATTTTAACCTCAAATTCATCCAAGTATGCAATTAGTTTCAATCATAATATAACCTAATTTTTTTCAAACATATAATGATATAACTTGACCAAACTATTTTATTAACAATGGATGTTTTTAGTATATACATATAGTATGCGATGAAATTAGAATGTTTAAAAAGTTTGGGGACTAATTTAAAATGAAGGTCTTAGTTTAGGGATAAAATTGACTTGATCAAAAGTTAAGGAAATGATTTAGAATGATTGTCATAGTTTAGGGTGAGATTAAAATATTTTAAAGTTTAAGGATCAATTAAAATGAGTGTCATACTTTGAGGACATACGATACACTTAACTTTTTTTTACCTATAATGTTAGATTAAATAGTTACTTCAACTCATAATTTTTTAAAGTATTTTGGTCCTCAATGTTTCATTTTGACACAAAAAAACCTCAACGTGTATAGAAATCGTTTGTCAACAAGCGATCAACGCTCTAAAATGGGGGGTTATTCTGAAAATGAAATATTAAGGGTTAAAATACTTCAAAATAAAATAAAAAAAAATATTAAAGTGAGTATTCAGTCAAATGTAAAAGATTTTTTATCCTAAAATAAAATATTAATGATAAAAAAACCAAAACAATTAAAAGTTGAAAAACTATTAATCAAACGTTGGAGTATTTTCGACATTATATTGAGTTTTAAAAGTATACTTTTTTTTCATAATTTACTCTCGTTGATAACCAAAATAACATTCAAATACACTGATTAAGCTCACTAAACATAATTATTATTATCATTTTTGATAAATTGAGAGTGGATATAAGATATTACATGTTTAAGCACTTTCAATTATTTGATAATAAATACTCATTCTCCTAACATATGTAATGTTCGAATATGAAATATCAAAAAGATGACAACGAGTCCCTTGTTACCAGGTGATTGGTTTGTGCACTTAACATGACTAAATTAGTCAATAGTAATTTTGTATGATTAATTTTCAATCAAATTTAATTTAATTTTTAAATTAAAATAATAATTCATTCTTTTAATAAGAAAAATAAAATTGAATGAAAGCTAGACGTGATGTTTGGGATAGATTTTGTTAAGCCATAATAACAAAGTATTTCTTCTAAAAGCCCGTCTTTCCCCCATCGGTGTCGGGCCTCCATCTCTTTGCAGAAAACTTTAGGGCTTTAATTCATGTTCGAAATTCGGGCCATGAAGTCCAAGGGTTTTCTTTTCCGGTTTGCTATCGGGATTTGAAGTTCTTTGGCAGAAAACAAACTTTCGAAGAAAAATAAAAACACTGGCTCCCCATGAGTTATGATAGGGCATAAGATAAAAGAAAAAAAGGTCCCATTTGGGCGAGGCAGCCGGGATACTTGACCATCTTTTAGTGTTGGATTTGTCATTCACAGGGTATTTGGGTGAAAGGGATGGGTTGTAATGGACTGTTCGTGCTTTACTATAATTAAAAAGGCCCAATTAGTAAGCTTAATTAATGTCATTATCATGGCGAACACTTCGAATTTTGTAAGATTTAAAGGAATGGGTCTAATCAAATGATTCAAAGTATATTCAGGAAAAAGGTCGGTCCATCATTCACGCTGTTGATCTCTAAAGTTGATTAGTCAGGCGCTCGTGTGATGGTTCACTTTTTATGTGAGATTTTGCACCAACTAGGCCTCGCTAGATCTCTTGATTTTGCATCATAATTTTAGGTCTTGAGGATTGGGGACCATCGAGCAATTATAGAGCTCAATCATGAATACGATTGCCCCCTGTTTTAGACTCAGGTCCTCGGTCCACCTAAATAGTACTAATACATTTTAAATTTTTTTAATACATGCACGAACCAAGAGACTTTCGTAATAAATGAATTCTTATTTTTCTTTGAGGACCCGAATTCGAATAAGAGTTTAATGTCAAAAAGTTAAAAATTTATCTTCAAACAGATAATGTATTGCAGTTGTCCTGATTAATCAAAAAATTAATTTATTATTATTGGATAATATAAAGATTGAATAAAAGGTTAAGCCCATTCTACAGTGCCATAAAATAACACTGATGATGGACCAGATAAATATCAGATGCTCCGTTCAAATGACTAGGTTTCGGATCCGAAGATCTGCCCATTCAGCTTAATACACAAATCTTAAACAACATATATTTTGAACTTTTGTACATGTAAAACAATTCATTAATAAAACTTTATCAGTTTGTACGTAATTGAATTCTTGTATATACTATTTTTTTATTTAATCAGTCATATTCAATCGGTTAATCTAGACCGAATACTACAAACGTAAAACTGATTCTCTCTATCCAATTTGTTTCATTTACGAACGTCATAATTCAAACTCTACAACATATATTTTTTCCTTGCATGTTAACATTTACATTTATTACTTGTGGGTATCTTATCGTCCACTTCAATTTCATACGTGGTCCATACTCCATATTTATAGACCATAAATAACGTTCTTATCCATACTCATTAAAAAAATACATTGTTTAAATTGAACACCAATGTTCATTTAAAAAAATTTGTATTAAACGTCTTTACAAGCTTCGCATGATATTCGGTCTCGGCATCTTTGAAATTGTGATTAAAATTAATTATGCATTATTAAATAAAATAATTAATTTAATAACATTTGTTACGAAAACTCTTCAAAAATATTGGGCAAGAACGTGACAGACGCTAATAAAATAAAAAGGTCAATTTAATGTGGATGGTAAAGTCCGCTTGCTTGATTAAACAGGTTAGCAACAAGAAGATGATAATAACCAAGAGAAAATATGACACGTGGAATAATCTCAATGACGATGATAGAGAGTATTCCGAGGCTAGAAATATACGTCGACGAGGGGTACGATTTCATCGATGCTTTCCTTAATTCTCAGCTCAGCTGAGCTCCTCGAGGCTTTAAGCCGCGGCTGGCTGGCTGGCTTTTCATTCGGCGTTCTACATTCAATGCCGGGGGGCTATTTAAAAGGCGGTTTTATTTTGTAGTTAGCCGACTCCAAGTCATACGACCTGAAATTCCGGACTTATTGTAATTTTCCGATTAGAAAATTCAAGCGAACATCATTTAGTATATTTGACTTTAATTGGTTCTTCATTCGAGGATAAAGTTGTTGTTTTTTCAAAAGTCTAATATGATTATAAATGAAAAGATAAATTTTATTATATATATAGTGTAATAATAATTGATTTTTTAAAATAGTACTAAGGTTATCTCCAGCCTTTATCTCTACTCTACAACATCTTTATCTCTACTCTAAAGATGAAATAATAGTTCATCTTTAGCACTATCTATACATTACCACCAACTCTACTTTATTCACAATATTTAACTATTATAATATTAATTTTGCAAATATAAAATAAAACATATACATTTCTAATAAATATAAAGATAAAAAGTATAAGTAAAATATTCATAAATAACATTATGAAAATATAAATAAATAAAAAAATTACGATTCATAATAATAATGTGAAAAAACATAAGTTACATAATTATATATTTTAATTCTCCAAATTAAAATATTTATTCTACAAATTAACAAAAAAAGAAAATAACAAAAGAAAATAAAAAAAATTAAAAAACCAAAAATCAGACTCTACTCTAGAGATGGGCTACAGTGTTGTGCTACATGTAAAATATCACTGTAGCATCTCCACATTCCAAACTCTACTATAGAGATGAGCTGGAGTTCAAATTCATCTCCAAAGTATAAATTTTCTCTATTTTGGATATGCATTGGAGATGCCCTTATTTTAAAATAGGTTTAAGTATAAAATAAGCGTTTAAATTATAATATTGTTCACAAATAGGAGGTTAAAATTTTTTTTGATTCATCTTGGTATCTAACGTTACAAACGTTACCATTTTAAGTGTTCGGGTAATCAATGACTTTAATTCTCTCCATTAAGTGACAAGTGTCATACTTTGGTAATTTTAAAATAAACTTTTTTGAAATTAACAAAATATTGTATTTATAAAAAATAGTTTTTTTCTTCTAAAATTACAAAAAAACCATAAAATCCCCAAATCCTAATCCTGACTTTAACTCCACCTCCGTTTTCGGCCACAACCATCTCCTTCGACACCCCTTATCATCTGCGTAGTCGTATGATGTCGTCCTTTGTTGATGGAGTTATCATGGTATTTGTGATGGTCTTCGTTTGTTGCGTTCTTTGGGGTTGATTTTATTCTTTTTTATCGCGATTGTTCGTTGGGAAATAAGTCTTTGGTGGAGGCGCAACCAGGTGGAAGTCTAATGGATGCCAACACGAACCACAAGCATGGTTATAGAATTTTGATTTTTTAAAATATATTTTTAATTTTTTAAATAAAAATTTAAAATTAGTTAATTATTAAACGTGTCAATTAATAAGGAAATTAACTCCGTTGACTACTCGAACACTTAAAATAATAACGTTTATAAGGTTAGACATTGAGATGAGAAAAAAAATACTTTAGACACTATTTATAAAAAACGATATAATTTAAACACTTATTTCATATTTATATCTTACAAACATGATCATTTAAATTCAATACCTCAAAAAAATTACAATCGAGAAAAATTAAATTGATTAAAAATATTTAAATAATTAATAATTATATAGGTGACATTAAGTTTTCCTTTTGGGTAGGATAAAAATGAAGTGGTGTGAGGGAGTTGATAAACGGTCACTCCTGTAATTATTGGCACAAGCGATGAAGCCCAAAAAACGGGTGGACGCTTGGAAGCCGAGCTGTGAGGATATCTTTCAAAATCTGTTGCGTTGGCGTAAGCTTCACTGTATTTCAACTGCAAAAGCCCATCAATACCAACTCAAAATACGCGTTCCATCGTGACCGTTCATCGTAATTACAATTTCGGAATCATTATCCATAACACAATTAAATACCGATAAATTGATTCATTTTTCTCTCCTTCACCTTGTCCGAAGCCTACCGTGCTCTATAAATATCCCAACTAAATTAGCCGAGGCCTGCATTTTCTCTTTCTATTTTTTATTGTTTCCGCTCCATATTTTCGTACCGGTAGTTTCTTTTATTTTTGGTTTTTAATTTTTTTTTGTTCATTTGATTGCTTTTGCCATCTCTTTCATGTCAACGGCTGGGGAGATGGAGCCATTGACGTCGGGAGCAAGCAATCGGATAATTCCGATCCTAAAAACCCTAAGAACTCCTCTTATTTTCATCCAATCTGTAGTCTTGTACCTCCTCCTCCTCTTCTTTCCTAGGCGCCACAAATTTCGGACGGCGGTTGCGGCGGATGACGGTGCTGCCGCCGGGCCGCAATCTCCTGCTCAAACGGCGAGGCGTAAGTCTTTATGGAGGCGAGAAGAGGAGGACACCTTAAGAAGGAGATCTTTGGCTGAGGGTTTGAACATGGGGTTCGAAACCGGAGACGGAGAGGTTCATTGCTGCTGGAGCACGTCTCTGTTCTTTGGCGTTCGAAGAAATGCCTTGTTTTGTCGCTCTTGGTTTCCGGCTACCGGTGAATTAAAGTAAGCAGTAATTTCATTTTTTATTGACGTTAAATGAAAATTAAACTTCCGTTTATTTTTTTTGTTTAATTAATTATTAACTGAAGTTTCTAACTTTTGAGTTGCTTTTTCCTCGAGAAAACTAGAGTCTTTTCACAGATAAACTTCCTATTTTGAGAATGCTAAAATGAGAGGATCAAGATTTTGAATTTTAGTATAAGTTTGGAGGGAATGATTCTTTGCTTCTCCGGTGGTTAGATTCTTTTGGGGTTGATACACAACTACCGGGTTACTGTTTGTTTGTCTGTAGCATCATGCAAATCTGTAGTCTCTACTTTTGTTCTTCACTTTTCTTGAAGTTGCTTTCATTTCATTACGATTTGCTTTTCCCTCGTCTCCTAACAGCTTACTTGTTTGTGATTTTAGGGGAATTTTGATCATTATACACGGGCTTAATGAGCACAGGTAACATTTGTTTCTAAATTAAGTCCATGAAGATCTCAGCTTTTTACCCCATTGAAAAAGAATCTCTTCATTTTTCCTTATGTTTTTTGTGGGTGTTTATTTCCAGCGGAAGATATAATCAATTTGCAAAGCAACTAACCTCCTGCAACTTTGGTGTATATGCAATGGACTGGATAGGTACATAATCCGACACATGTTCAGCATTTGTTTTTCTTTTTCAAAAATCTATTAAAGATTATTAGTTTTAAGTTGTGGTGATGAGACAAGCATCCTTGCTATAGGTCATGGTGGCAGTGACGGATTGCACGGATATGTTCCTTCGCTTGATCATGTTGTTGCAGACACTGTAAGTAATCATTATACTTCTTCGTCCGTCAACTTTTAATTGGATAAACCAAAACCTTAATTTGGTAATCTTTGGCTTTATTTAAGTTATGCCTGCAAGAAGGTGCTAAGTTTCTGGCTCTACTTCATTTTTCAGGGGGCTTTCTTGGAAAAGATCAAATCAGAGAACCCAGGTGTACCTTGCTTCCTTTTTGGTCACTCTACTGGCGGAGCCGTGGTTTTAAAGGTATCAAATCTGCCATTTGCTTTAACTGAATTATCAGCTGAACATTTTAATTTAATAAGGTGCAATTCACCAGGCAGCTTCATACCCTCGTATTGAAGAAATGCTGGAGGGAATTGTGCTGACATCTCCAGCTTTGCGTGTTAAGCCGGCACATCCGATTGTTGGGGTGAGTTGGTGCTTCTTGTTCATTGTTTTAGTGTGCTAAACCGTGTTGTAGTTTTCTTAACTTTCTTTGTTGAACGGAAGCATTAAAAATGCTTCAACCAACCATCACTGATCAATGGTTTAATATCGACCTATGAATATTTTCAATATCACTTTTCTCATGCAAAAATCAGGCTCTCTTGTTGTGATCGGTTTCTTAGTTTTATCTAATGTCTATAGTCAGTTATGAGTTAGCCAAAAGATGTGTGCAAATAAAGTATTTGGGAGGTGTTAATTCCTTTCAGAGTTAGCTGGTCAGGTTTTAGCTTTAATATTGTTTTCATGATTTTGTCCTCTATAATACCATCTAACTATTGCGGTTGAGAAGTGCGACTCACTTTGGTTTTGTATAACCATTCCGCTATTGTGTAATATCAATTGCATTTTATGAAGAATAAGATTGGCTGTGATTTAATATTGTGTTTTTATGCAGGCCATTGCTCCCCTTTTTTCTATGGTTGCTCCTAAGTTGCAGTTTAAAGGAGCGAACAAGAAGGGCATCCCAGTTTCGAGGGACCCTGCTGCACTGCTGGCCAAGTATTCCGATCCCTTGGTCTACACCGGTCCAATAAGGGCCCGAACAGGGCATGAGATATTACGCATCACATCTTACTTGACGCGGAACTTTAAGTCTGTGACTGTCCCATTCTTTGTGCTGCATGGGACTGCTGACAAAGTCACCGATCCAGTCGCCTCCCAGGACTTGTACAACGAGGCATCCTCCAACTTCAAAGACATAAAGCTGTACGAAGGCTTCTTGCATGATCTTCTCTTCGAACCAGAGCGTGAAGAGATAGGGCAGGACATAATCAACTGGATGGAGAAGCGATTAGACACTGTAGGATCCTATCTAGTAAACGATCTTGCAGGACGGATTAGGTGTAGAACTCCTGTATGAAAGCACAAGTGGACGTGATAGAAAAAAGCTCGTCCTCGCCGAAGCTTGTTCATCTGGTTTGCAGTGAAATTCATAATCGTGTGTATAATCATGTTATAAATTGTTTTTTTAAAAAAAAAAAAAATCCGTCATTTCATACGGTCGTGTTTGTATTTTATCCGTAAACCACATCTATAAGACTTCAAGATTACTTTTAGATTAGGTTAGGTAGGCAACTAAAATTGCAGTGCAGTAAAATGGCTTATATGTTCCGCAGTATGCTTGATGGGGCAGAAGGGTTAGTGGCTTAATTGATGGTAACTATCCGTATAATAAATAATTTCCAAGCAATTGGTTAATAGTTTTCTCCATAAAGGTTATTTTTTCCCAACTTGTAGACGCTGTACCAAAGGGGGAAAAAATAACATTGAAGATAATCCCTGACTGGTTTCAATGATGCCGATTTACATACAAGTAGTATTTCTCTTGCTCGTAAAATCACAATTGATCTACCTTCTTCCCAAATAAAAACTACAAAACCGGTTGCTGCAGGGCAAGTAAAAGTTTGGAAGCATTCCGCAAACTACTTAATTCGTTGACGCGAAATATAACATAGTTTCTCCAATCGAACTCTTTCCTAACAGAAGGGGAAAATAAACGAGAAAAGATCAGTACTAGTAGCTCTGAAGGAAATACTATTCTTGTACTCTTAATGCTAGCAAGAAGAGTTAACAAGAAGATGAAATGCTTGCCTCCGTGTTGTCATGATTGTATCGGATCAAAAACAGACACCTGCAACCTCGTATGTCATGCATTTTCCGATCAATCTTTACGACGTGTGCATCATAGTAAATTGATTGGTCCCCTCTCTCCTAAATTCCAGCCAAGAAATGCAAAGTAACAGACAGAATGAGGGTTATTGAGAAATTTAAGAACAATGAGTTATCTATTAGTCACCTGCAAGCACAATATGAGATCTCCAACGACCACCTTATTACATTCAGAATGCTCAAATGGGATGGATCGCTTTCGTACTGCCTTTTTTACACTAACCCATTCATCGTCCGCAGCTCCATATCCAACGAATCTGACCCGAACTTCCTTTAACAAACAATACATTTTATCAAATGACTTTCAAAATAAATACTTCGACAACTATGACCAAATATTAGCTCGGTAAGAGCATAAGTCTATACAGTGAATTGCAATAGTATGATTTAAATATACTTACAGCTTCACCAGAACTTAGAAATTGGTGACCGAGAAACATGTCAACATCATACCTGTGCATCAATAAACTCAGGCAAGTTTAAGTACAAGATTCACATGGCATAACAGAATGAACACACCTATATTCCAACCGTTGTATACATACATAATTTACAGATCAATTATAACAAAAGGAAAGCCTGGAAAATTTCTATTGGAATAATTTAGATTCATTTGCTTACCATGCTCCATCTTTACATGACTTAGCCTCGAATTTTAGTTCTGATAGATCAGGGATCTTTTCTCCAAGTTGTGAACCCACTCCTAGAGAGGAAAAAAGTTAGCAAAGGCAGGACAAACTTTCTCTATAACAGGCAAGGGGCAGTCCAGTGGAATATTTACTTTTTATGCCATGGTTTCTAGATCATAAAGCAGTGGTAGACACGACCAAGGAAACCATATTACATTTTTGCACTAGTCAATAAAAAAGTAGTGATCTCGTGCTTAAAATTAGATGCACTTCTATACTGGTAAAAGTTTTACTTTACAAAAGAAATTAAGAACTATCTAGGATAGCGAAAGAATGGGGCAGCAAGTTGAACTAAAACACGTATTACAATCACCAGATATCTGAATCGGTCCAAACTTCAATCATTTTCTTTCCTCAAATTCATAAAAGGACACATACCTTTAAGAGTTTGAGAACTTTGAGGTCCATTGTTTAGAGGGCATGTTTCAAGTATTGAGGACTCATTTCCGGATGTATCATCAGTAAAGGAAGGAACTTTGGATGTGCTTTCCTGCTGCCTAGATGCGAGCCAGCTTTGTATCTGAGAAACAATAATGAAATTAGTGATCATAGTAGATATCCAAAAGTATTCAACATAAATAACATAACCAAAACTGAAAGAAAAGAGGAGAAATAATAAGATAGTAATGGAGTAAAGAAAGACCTCGGTCCATTTAACAATAGGTTTTCCGGCACGAGCCGAGGATGAACTGCAAAGGCAACATCGCATCTCAGTCGAAGTCGATTCATTTGTTTAAGAGAACTACATAGATGTTCATGAAATGCAACTAACCTGAAACTTCTTGCAATTTTTTGACAAAACTCCTTACTATGCAGCAGGTCCCTTGATTCCACTGACAATTTTTCCATCTTCTCAATCTGTACATAAATGCATAAAAAAATGGAAATAGCTTTGTAGAATCATCAAAAATGTTAAAATCAACAACATCCATACATAATTACTACTTTAAACCAAGAATGATTCCCAACCCCAATGCATAAGAGCGAAAAGAAAAGAGAGAGAATCAATCCAAACTATCACACACAACCTAAAATCAGTAGAAAAACTCTAACTTCACATTTTCACGAATCACAACATACTCAAGCTGATCAGAAGTAGAAAAACTCGTACATATAATTACACCATTTCTTCTAGACCCCATAATCTGACGACTGACCAGATAAAAAATGCCACTCAAAAACAGAAAAAAATAACCTCGGCTTTTGTAAATCCAGAGAAGACTGGTCTCTGTCTCGGACGTAGACGATCCATCAAAGATTCCAAAAATAGGTTATTTTTCCTAAAAAGATAAAAAGATGGGGATTAAGCGAGCTCTCAATTTGTACAATCTGGAAAACCCTAATGGCTAAAGTGTAGGGAATTTCAGAGGCTGATAGTCTAAGAGAGAATGCCAGTTTAAGCGCCTTTAGAATTTTGGATTTTATTTCTTTTATGCTCTTTATAGCTATACAGTAGAAAGGCCCGACAGTTTTGGACTCCATAACCTCCATTCGACCTGTTTAATCTAAATATATTTTTATCTCAATTCATTATTTAAAACCTATAAAATATTAGTATAAAATAAAAAACTAATAATATATATATATATATAAGGTTAAAGTACAAAAATAGTCCCTCAACTATATGATACTACTTTATTAAGTACCTTAACTATTAAAAGTTACAAAATAGTCATCTAACTATTCATCATTTTCCAAACTAGTCCTTCTACGTTAAAAAATTAACGATCGTCTGAACTTGACGTTAACATGATGATTGAGATATGATAGTTATTTGAGATTCTAGGATCATATTTTATCATATCACAGTTAGCGGACTAACGTTTAACTTAGAATACCGTCAAAGTTTTAACGGAAGATGACGAGTTTGGACCATAAACAATAGTTTGATGACCATTTTGTAACTTTTAATAGTTGAGGACTCGACAAAGCAACACTCTATAGTCGTAGGATCATTTTGTAACTTTTAATAGTCAAGGGACAATAAAGTAATATCCTATAGTATGGGGATTATTTTTGTACTTTTTCCTGCATATAATCACTGTGAATTTTTTAATTTAATATTATAATTCTCGATGTCTACTGTATAAACTATCGATTTTTCATATAGGTGGTAAAATTTATATTTATACTAAAATTTATAGAATTATTATTAATAATATAAAATAATTAGCTAACATGCGAGAATTATTAATAATATAAAATAATTAGCTAACTTGCGAGAAAATAGGCATGTTGGCCGAACGAGGGAATATCGTAAACAGTCTCCCACGTTCCTCTCCTTGCTAACAGGATGCTTTCATGGGGGATTGAAACCATTTTTGCTACCAATCCAGCTTTTATTTATTTATTAATATTATTTTTCACACATTGCAAGCTAGTCCCTTTCTGTCTTGGACATTTCCCTTTAAAACAAAATTATAAATTATATAAAAAAAAAGAAATTTATCCTAGGATCTTCCTTTTGAACACCCATAATTGCCAACCGATACTCAAAAAAGGGTTGGATTTTGCCTTTTGAACAATCAAGGCAAAAAAGCTTGTTATTATTATTATTATTATTATTATGTTGTTGTGTTCTGTTCCCAAACATTGTTAAATTTACAGAGACGGGTGTTGTGTGGATATCAGGGAAGAAAGAGTATCCTGGTCGTTAATATTTCATAATGCAGTTCATAACTATTGTGATTTAGTGGATAATTCGACCATGGCTGGTGGTGTTGATGATGACGAGTACGGTGAGGATAGTGCCACAGTGGATCAGCCTATCACTCCATGGACTATCTCCGTTGCTAGGTGATTTAATATCATCGTGCTTCATAATTTCATTTTAGATCTAAAAGAATTTCAGTGAAAAGACAAAGATCATAGCTTTCTTGATCATAAAAATACTGTTGTTTGATGATGAACTAAAACTTTCAAACAAGTGATGTGCATTGTAAAATCTGGGTTTGTAGTGGGTATTCGTTGATGCGTGATTCACGTCACAACAAAGGGCTTGCCTTCACTGAGAAAGAGAGGGATGCACATTACTTGCGTGGCCTTCTTCCCCCCGTTGTTCTCAGCCAGGAGCTCCAGGAGAAGAAGATGATGAACATCATTCGCCAATATACGGTTCCTTTGCATCGATACATGGCGATGATCGATCTCCAGGTCAACTTTCCATGCCTTAAATTCCCCACATTGGTAGTTGTGTTACTACCAACTGAATATAGCATGACCTATATATCGTATAGGCAACTTTACCGATGTATCGACTGCATTTGGCAGGAGAGGAATGAACGACTGTTTTACAAGCTTCTCGTCAATAACGTGGAGGAACTGCTCCCGATTGTGTACACTCCGACTTTTGGCGAGGCTTGCCAAAAATTTGGCAGCATTTTCAAGCACCCTCAGGGTCTTTACATCAGTCTGAAAGAGAAGTATGTGTTCTTTCACTGTGTCCTTTGTGTTGAAAAATTGAAATATTGAGATACAAATAACAATAGCCAAGCATGACAATCTATATCGGGGGCAAGATTCTAGAAATACTGAAGAACTGGACTGAGAGAACAGTTCAAGTCATTGTTGTGACCGATGGTGAGCGAATTTTGGGACTCGGGGATCTTGGTTGCCAGGTGATTCGATATCTGCTTCGAAGCTGCACTCAAAACAGCCATCATCCCCCCCCCCCCCCGTAGATCAACTTCATGATCATTAATATTCTGATTTTTTTTCAGGGAATGGGAATACCTGTAGGAAAACTCTCTCTATACACAGCTCTCGGTGGAGTCTGTCCCTCGCTAGTAAGCATCGATAAAACCAATTGATTTCATGTTACCCTTTAACAATTTGGTTACAGTAATGCCGTACATGGTAGCTCTCCTTATAACATATACGATCAGCTGATAATTTACAATCTTCATTCAATTTTTTGCAGTGCTTGCCTGTTACTATCGGTGTCGGGACAAACAACGAGAAGTTGTTAAATGACGAATTTTACATGGGGCTCAGGCAAAAGAGGGCAACAGGAAAGGTTTCATGATTTCCCTTTGCGTATATATGTTCCCATTAGGCCATGCCATAAATGTACATCCTTGCCTGAAATACCAAATTACATCAGTTTCCATGGTGCAGGAATATGCTGACCTTCTACAAGAGTTCATGTGTGCAATTAAACCGAATTATGGAGAGAAAATTCTAATACAGGTAATCATCAGCCCATCTTCTTTTTAGGCATTTGCTGTTGGATTTTTTACATGCTCAGTTCTCCGGTTTTCAGCTCGAAGATTTTGCAAACCACAATGCATTTGAACTGTTAGCAAGATACAGTTCTACTCATCTCTTTTTCAACGACGATATACAGGTAATATGCTTAACTAGAATCCCCTCCTCTGTTTCCTTTAATGGTGGTGACATTAGTTTAGAACTCTTTCATAATGAATTAATGATAGGGTACAGCAGCTGTGGTGCTGGCTGGCCTTCTTTCTGCCCTGAGATTACTCGGTGGAACTCTCGCCGACCATACGTTCTTGTTCCTCGGTGCTGGCGAGGTAAGGCTCGGTAGACGCAATGGAAACAAAGGAACTGAACTTTCCTGTACAATACTTGCTTCTCATCTCACACGTACAATGTCTTAATTGTGTTTCTTTTTGGTTGTTGATATGCCGGAACTGGTATAGCTGACCTCATAGCACTTGAGATCTCAGAGCAGGTAACAATCTTCTAATGCTAAGTATTTGTGTCTTCAGGAAAGGTTTATGGCTAAACATATAAGGTCTCTCGACAGAACGGAAAACCGATCGAGGAGAACCGCAAGAAGATTTGGCTTGTAGACTAAAGGTACCATGAATTTCATTGAAACTATCTTGTAGAAAGAGATGGTAGCTCTTCTTTTATCACTGTGACGAGGTTGAATCACGTTGCAGGGATTGATCTTTTCCACTCGCAAGGAATCACTTCAAGACTTCAAGAAACCTTGGGCTCTTGACCATGAATCTGTCACGGAACTCAGAAATGCCGTCGAGGTGTGTATAACTCGTCGAGAGTTATTGTTCGAATTGGAATGTTTCGTCATTGTTTTATTTCTTCTACCTTTATGTTTGATTAACCAGGCGATCAAACCAACTATCTTGATTGGAACATCTGGTGTGGGAAAACAATTCACTAAAGAGGTTGTGGAGGCCATGGCATCATTGAATAAGGTTCTTTATCTCTCTCAAATTGTGTCTTTGAGATCATCTCAATTCTCAACTGACGAGTTTTAGACTGATCCTGATGGATGGCTTGCAGACACGTCTTATCATGGTTCTATCGAACCCGACATCGCAGGCCGGGTGTACGGCAGAAGAAGCATATACATGGAGTGAGGTACATGACATGGAAGATCCCTTGTAGCATGGGATTTTTTTTTACCTAAATTACTCTTAAAAACTCTGCAGGGTCGTGCCATCTTTGCCAGTGGAATCCCATTTGATCCTTTCGAATATAATGGCAAGACCTTCGTGCCTGGCCAGGTTTTTTTGCTTTCTGCCTGTATTTGCACCATTTTTCGAGTTTGGGAACTAACAGTTAAACCCTTGGGGACCTTGTGTAATGTGATTCAGGCAAACAATGCTTCCATTTTCCCTGGATTTGGTTTGGGTTTGATAATGTCTGGTTCAATTCGTGTACGTGATAACATGCTTTTGGAAGTCTGTAAGTGCATTTGGTCTGTTTCTGTACATGCAAAGGGTGACAAACTGGAACCTAAATAAATAGCTTCTTTTTTTTACAGCCAAAGCTTTGGCTTCACAAGTGACAGAAAAACACTACGAAAAGGGAATGATTTACCCACCATTCAAGGATATCAGAAAGATATCAGCCAATATTGCTGCTAAAGTTGCTGCCAAGGCATATCAACTTGGTGAGTCCAGTTTTATGGGTTTAAGCTCTTAAAATCAGTCTTCCATATTCATCTAATTTACGTTGTTTGATGGTTTCTAATGCCTAGGTCTGGCTTCTCATCTTCCTCAGCCTGAGGATCTTGTTGAATCTGCTGAGAAGTGTATGTACAACCCAGTTTACAGATGCTACCGTTGAAGATTGCTCTTAAATTCTCTCCATTTTTCCTTTATTGTTTATCCCTCCAATTCATGTAGGAAATATTGATTCTTTTTGGTGAGAATAATTTTGTTAATTTTTAGTCCTCTATCTTTGGGAACATTTCGTCCTTTATTTACTTATTCACAAAAAAAAAATCATTTTCCTACATTTTAAAAAAGATCAATGTGAATTTTTAACTCATAAAATAAACTCAATGTGACCCTTGAAACAATGTTTTTCGTTATTGACCATTACCGTACCGATATGACAGTCCACAGTGAGTAACAACATGACGGATAACATAACAAATGAGTTAAACTAATGACTCAAACATCGCAAATGGACTACCACATTAGCACCGTAAACCGTCACGTCAGTATTTTTTTTTTGCGGATAACTCTGCTTCCGTTTTATTTATCAACTTGCTTATTATGTTTATTAAAATAAAAAGAACATCACTAATGTATAGAAAAGATTTCTTCTTTGAAAATTGCATGGAACTCCCTTGTGTAGAAGATCTGGACTGAAAGAATCAGAAGGCATTTCCAAAGGTTTCAAAGAATCTTTTAATTTTTTGTTCAGTAAAACCCAAAAATCCAGTACCGTGGGTTGGATTCCATAACCATATTAACCAACAGTCACATCGGCCATGGCTTTAAGTTGGAACGCCAGAAATGGCTGCATGAAGTCTTCTCATTTATCACGGGCTACACGCCACACAAGACACCCAAGTTATATACACAATGTAAGATCTGATATCTGGTATTCTATTCTGGCTTTTTTTTTTTTTGCGTATTAACTATTGAAAATCTAATCAGGATCATAATTTCTATGGTATGACATAAGTAATTTGATTACTCCTTATACCCCAAAATGATTTAGGGTCCACCTTGTCATTTGTCGCCGTAAAAAGCCACCCCATTAGGTTTTCACAAGATGCACAGTTTGTGATTGTCCATGCATACCTGCGGAAAGCAATGATCGGGAATATCACGGTTGTATGATGCACAAAAGAAATAAGAGAACAATAGCAAGATAGTGTTGCACAATGCAAAGAGATATCAACAAGTTGGAATCTTGAGGGATGAAGATAAGATCAAACATTAGGAGGAACAATGACTTATTAAGTATTTAAATCTAAAAGTTAGGAGGTATAAAGGCTTTATTTGACTAATATTTGAGCTAACAATGACCTAAATTACTATTCTACTAAAAAAAAATTGGGCCACAACCCCTCCCACTTAACAAATGACTCCGACCGTGTAACTACAGTATATATCAACAATTTGATCTTCAAATATTTATTTAGAAATCAAAATATCCTTATATGTTGCGATCTCAAAGGTTAAGAATCTATTATCAGGGTTTTCCACATCATATTATGAAATTAACCGATGAATCTGTAGTTTTATCAAGTCAAGAATGAATTTCTAGGTCATTTCTATTGTCAAGGGAGATCTACGTATTTTTTTTCATTTCAAGGGTATTTTAGTTAATTCGTTCATTTTCGTCACATGTATTACTTTCGATAAATTGGTCTTCAGGTGTTTATTCAAAAATCATAAATTATTAATCCTTTACCATCTCGGAGGTCAAAAATCATTTATTACTATTTTTTCTAAACAAAACAAGCATTTCCAACATTAAAGATCTTCAACAAAAATAATTAGAATTATAAGAATTTTGAGGCTAACCAAATTATTAATTATTCACTAAATTTGAAATTATTCCTTATTAGACTTCTGGTTCCTTACACAAGTCAATCGAGTCTTATTTAGTTTACTGTCTTTATATCATATTCTGATCGAGGCCAACAATAATTAAATACACCAAATTGACTAATCATTTTCATTCACGCATTTATCAATTATCAATGAGTTTCGTAAAACATATAAAAGATAGTAGAATATTATCTCGATTTTTGAGCCACATCAGTCGGCCATTTCAACTCCATTTGAACGATCTTGAACTTGAATTCTACATCCCAAAATATCTCAAATACACACAAAACAAACTGCATCAAAAACGGACTTTAAACATGAAAATTGAATCGCATAGAGAGATAAAACGCTAAAAAACAGCTTAACGAGTTTAAATTTGGTGAACAAATGCAAGCTCAAATTCTTGAACTTTTATGATTTCTAAAAAATGTCCCAAACTTTTCAGAACCTTACGAATTGATCCCAAAAATATTCAATTAAAATTTAAATAAAATGAGGGTATTACAACGAATTTGAATAAAAATATTATTTGAGAAAACTCGTCATGTGTGCGTGACGAATTTGCCATATACTGTAGCATTTTCGTAGATCCCAAATTAATTTTGGAGATGGCTTAACATGTTAATTTTTTACAAGCATGGCCTATTGGGCCAAATTTACCAAAGGAACCCTCTCCGTCCGGCCCAATCCAATAATTTCACGTGAAAAACTGAAAAAGAAAAAAGGGAAATAGGCTTAATGACGATATAAGTCCTTAAAACTGTAGTAATACATATTTAAGCCGTAACTTTTTTAGGATAAAGTTAAAAAATGATCACTAAATTATTCCAAAACAATCTTTTTAGGTATTAAACTTTTAAAATATTATAAAATATACATTAAATTTTAGATTTTATTACAAATTGAATATTTTGTATTTCTTTGTCATTAATTACTATTAAGGGATGACATGACATAATAAAATCAAAAGGTTATGTTTCATTTGATCCCTTAATCGTGACTAAAAATAGAGTTTACTGTTATGGAAGCAAGGTTTCATCCTTTATGCCGTAAATGAAGAAACATTAGTAGTTATCTAGTTATGCCTATCTATCAATAACAAGATGCCAATTTTTATATCATATTTTTTTTTATCAAGTTGCTTCCATTACTGGGTGGGTTGGCAGGAATATATACACACATACACTTACAGTGACTGCATGTCGAACTTTATGGGAAGTTGACAGTGTTAGTGGCTTGATTCTTCATGGAAACTTTATAGAACGTTGTTCTTCTTATAAGATTCGAGTTTGATTAGGTGTATATATAGTGTGTATTGTTAATAGGTTAAAGAAAAAAATATGAACATATATTACCTTATCCCGTAACATCGAAGTTGAAATGAAATGGAGAGATCAGGCTGCAATGGTGGTTTGTCATATTTAACCATTCAAGTTCGCTCCATATTCGTTAAGAGTTTTTGAATTTGGTAAGTGCTCGGGGCTTTGGAAAATGGAAAAACAGCCCCCAGATTTCCTAATCGAATCCACGCACATGATTCCTTTGTTGCTGATGTATTTTCTGGGCCCAAGTTTGCATAATATTTTCTCTACATCCAATCAACATTTAAAAGATGTATCAAAAAGGAACCTTTCCCGCAGTGTTTTTGCCTTGTTAAATCATCATTCATAAGTAAACAAACTACTTTTGCAAATCATAGTAGAAGATGATTAACTTAGCAGATACGGTCGATTTTACTGGTTCAAAAACTCAACGACTTGGTTGACTGGTAATTAGCAGCGAGAAAACTCGTAATCATGATTAAAGATCAAAGAAGTAAAGAGAAGAAAAGGGTCCAAAAAGGCTCCTCTTAAAGTGAAGCTGGGAATTATCAGGTCAGGCAGTGATGGATCATATCTCAATAAGTGAGATATTAGGGCTCCACCACCATTTACAGATGGTGAGCTCGAAAAAAGGCTTACTTGTTCTGCTAATAATAATGACGGCCAAGACTTTTAACTCTATTCTGTTCTTTCTTCTTTTCCCTCAATATTCATTGAAC